CCAGTCCTCGAATCCAATTATTTTGTCATGTGTCTTATCGTATGACAAACCAGGTTGTAACGATATTTCATCCCATAACAGAGCTACATACTTTTCTCTGTCATCTTTCATATCTCTTACAGCATTTTTCAAAAATGTCACTATTAATTTAGTGCATCCAGTTTTCAAAGGAATACGTGCCAGTTCGGAATTTAATGTTGTTATTGTAGGACAGGTGAGGTATTTGGATAGAAAATTGTAACATGCGTGCGATCGTTTGTATATACCGATACAGAATACTTTCTCTTGAACTGTATATCTTCGACCCTACAAAAAATGTATAAAATATCTCACAAAAAGAATATCAAAAATGCATCTCAAATGACAAATACAGATATTAAACCACGACTAAAAATATACAATTATATACATTGATATACATCCAATTGTCATTTATGTCAATTATTGTCATTATATAAATAACCCAATAGAAATATGCCTTATATTATATGAATAGGCTGCATCTTCGTGTCTAATAATATTTTTGCGTATACATTTTTTTCCAGCTTAACAAAGTGCGCGCCGAGTAATGTCAGTCTTGAAACACAGTTTACAGCTAAAGTCGAAATAGTACACGTAATTGATTTGATAATCAATGTAATAATAATAATAATGATGCTAAATAAGAATCTTTTAGCAACAAACTGTACAGAATTTATTGCAAAAAATATCACTTCAGCCAGGGGTGAGGTGATACCTTTGAACCTGCACCTCCCTATTATGAGAGGGGCAGGCCATCTTTACAAATTCGACCATTGAGGCACAATTAAATAAATAGAAAAAAATATACACAAGTATGATCAATATAAAATATACCAAGTCATATATACAAATGTAGAAATCTGAATAGCATAATAGTATAAATATAAGCAATTATGTGACATAAATGAAATATCAAAAATTACTGCATTTACAATAACTGCATTACTATAAATAACTGTAAATAACTGTTTTGATAAATAGTAATACCAATAATATTAATAATAATAATGGGATTTGTTTGTGCGTGTGATACATGTTCAATACAGCATTTAGGATATAGGATCATTTATTATGGAGCATTATATCTTCATATTATATACCTGGGGACGTACTGTACTGTTTCTCTGCAGCATATTAATAAACTGTTGTTGCACAGCACCTGTCGAGTTTACTTTCTTGTGCATCGATGTTTCTTTTTCTTGACATTTCTTTCTTCGTTGTATAAGGCGTTTTAAACGTGTATTAGTACGTTTTAGTCTAACATTAGAGTTATATAGCATCTTTGCAGTAGGAGTAAGATTTGCTGTGCGAGTGACATTTCGTAAAATTGGTCTCCTTTGTAATACCTTATTTCTTTTCGGAGTTATTATTATTCGCATTTCTTCTTCTAGTCTTGTCAGCCGATTTGCACAATTCTGGATTACACTTTCCTTTTTTTGACAATGTGATTGCTGCAACTTATTTTTCTCTTCTATGTCTTTCTCGTATATTTTTTGTTGCATTTTGAACACTTTTTTTTGTAATGTTTTGTGTTGTACATTAAACGTTTCTAATAAATGTTGTTGTTTTGATATTTGTTCGCTCTGCTGATGTATTTGTTTTTGTATATCTGACACATCTATAGGGGTTCCCAGTCAAAATGTCTCTCCTAAATAATCTCATACAAAAAAGTCTCGGGAAAAATATCTCAGTCCAAAAAGTCTCAGTCCAAAAATATCTCAGTCCAAAATGTCTCAGTCCAAAAACATCTCAGTCCAAAATGTCTCAGTTCAAAAATATCTCAGTCCAAAAATATCTCAGTCCAAAATGTCTCAGTCCAAAAATATCTCAGTC